GGCTTTGGATCGGCACAGTGCCAGCCACAGTGCCAGCCACAGTGCACTGGCCGTAGCGGCCATTTGGGAGGTGAACCAATGGAAAAGGAAAACCTTTCTCTCTATCTCTCTCTCTCTCACTGTCTAACTCTGCCTGTCAAAATAAATAAATAGATAGATAGATAGATAGATAGATAGAAAATAGATAAAATGAGTTTCTCACTGACAGCATATAGTTGGGTAATTTTTGATTCATTTAACTACTTTGTCTTTTGATTAGGGAGTTTAACATATGAACATTTGAAGTGATTATTGATAAGAAAGGATTCATTATTGTTTTGTTAATTGTTTTGTTAGCTTGTTACCTTAGTTTCTGAAGGATTTATTAATTCTTATTTTTTGTCCTCTAACCTGCTCTCATATTCTTACTTGTAACCCCCCAAGTTTTAACTATGATATAGTCATTTGTCATTCATATTTTATTATAAATTCCCTTGAAGGAAGCATGTCTTTTGAGCCATGTCACTTGGCTCTAGTGTAATGTCTAGGATAGAATCTACTCAGTGAAATATTCTCGCAACCTGAGCGAGGTGCTTGTGTTTCTTCCCCACCGGCTTCAGTGGCTCATCCCGATGGTGGATTGCCATAGGGAAGATCATCCTCGGAGTTCGGTCTGGTGGAGATACATAAGGGCTCCAGATCTGTGGGAAGTTGTAAGGGGAAGGGGAAAGCCAGGTTGCTTTTCCAGCTAGAACTTACTGAGGAATTTTATTGGAAAGAGTATCTTTTCTGATTGTTGTGAAGCATGAAAACACTTCTATATAATATGCACTATATAATATAGCTATGTAATATGCACTATATAACATGCACTGTATGGTATGTACTATATAATATGCACTATATGGTGTGCACTATACGATATGCACTATATAACATGCATTATATAATATACACTATATAACATGCACTATATGGTATGCACCATATAACATGCACTATATAATATCACTATATGGTGTGCACTATATAATATAAACTATGTAACATGCACTATATGGTATGCACTATATAACATGCACTATATGGTATGCACTATATAACATGCACTATATTACATGCACTATATGGTATACACTATATGGTGTGCACTATATGATATGCACTATATAATATAGCTATGTAATATGCATGATATGATATGCACTATATAATATAGCTATGTAATATGCATGATATGATATGCACTATATAACATGCACTATATGGTATGCACTATATAACACACACTATATAATATGCACTATATAGTGTGCACTATACGATATGCACTATATAACATGCATTATATAATATGTACTATATAACATGCACTATATAATATCACTATATGGTATGCACTATATGGTGTGCACTATATGGTATGCACAATATGATATGCACTATATAACATGCACGATATGGTATGCACTATATAATGTGCACTATATAATATGCACTATATGATATGCACTATATAACATGCATGCAGAAATTGCCAACAATTACAAGGCAGCCATGACTTTTTCTTCCTTTGTTCCTCTAGGCCCAGCTGGATGTGTGCCATCCTCTCTAGTTGAGGCGACAGTGTGAGGAAATGATTTCCCTAAGTCTCAACTAAAAAGAAAGGCATTAATAAAGCATTTAATTTTTTTTATTTGACAGGTAGAGTTACAGACAGTGAGAGAGAGAGACAGAGAGAAAGGTCTTCCTTCTGTTGGTTCACTCCCCAAATGGCCACCACAGCTGGAGCTACGCCAATCTGAAGCCAGGAGCCAGGTGCTTCCTCCTGGTCTCCCATGCAGATGCAGGGCCCAAGCACTTGGGCCATCCTCCACTGCACTCCCGGGCCACAGCAGAGAGCTGGACTGGAAGAGGAGCAGCCGAGACTAGAACCGGTGCCCATGTGGGATGCTGGCACTGCAGGCAGAGGATTAATCAAGTGAGCCACAGCGCCGGCCCCACATTTAAATTTTTTTAAAGACAAAAATTTCCGAATATGTTTTCCTGTGCATAGCCAGGAGGGAGAAGAGCCCGGAGGGGAGAACGAGACATCCCTTCCTGTGAACCTCACTTCTTGTGAGGCCGCTGTCCCTTACACCCAAAAAAGAGAGTTCAGGTGTCAGCATGTGCAGTTACAAAGTGCAGCTGTGCCACATGTATTTGGTGAAATACAGAACCCAAAAAGGTAAGTTGTCTACCTCAATGTATCACTGTTCATATAAGTCAGTTCCTTCCTCCGCAGCTGAGAAAAACAGCAAAGAGGATCACTGAACAAGAGCAGGCAGATACAGATCCTAGATAGACCCTACAGATCTTTCTCTTAGAGTTGCTTAGGTATTGTTTATTTCACTATAAGAAAGTAAATAGATCAAACACCAAGCACTCGGCTTGCTTTCTCTCTCCATCTCTCTCTCCCCCTCCTTCTCTCCCTTCCTCACCAAAGCTGAGCAAAACATATAACCAAAGAGGACTGATGAACAAGAACAGGGATGTTTAGATCCTAGCTAGATCCTAGATGTCTTTGCAAATATTAGATATTATTTCTTTCACTGTAGGAAAGTGAATAGGTCAGGCACCTCTCTCTCTCTATACACACACACACACACACACACATATATATATACATGCACTTACTATATATATTTTTTATTTTTTATTTTTTTTTGACAGGCAGAGTGGACAGTGAGAGAGAGAGACAGAGCTGGATCAGAAGTGGAGCAGCCGGATCTCAAACCGGTGACCACGTGGGATGCCAGCCTCACAGGCGGCAGTGTAACTTGCTATGCCATGCCGCCAGCCCCTAGAACCCATTTTTTTGAATTCTGAAACTCTGAAATTTATCAGTCTTTAAAAAGTGTATGGAAAATGTGTTGTGATGGAAAAAAATTACATGGATTTCAGAATTCTTTCTGCACCAAAACAAACTTACTTTTGAGTCCAGTTCCCACGACCTTTCTGAAGTCCCCTTGTGTGGCACACTGTGATTAACCATGGTCACCTTGCCGGGCAACAGGTGCCAGAAGCCCTTCTCCCGGCCTCCCTTTGGCTACCAGCACCCCCTCCAAGGCCACCTCCCCTCTGCCATTCCGAGCCTCCAGGAGTCTGGAATTTTGGGATTGTACCTGTGAGATCATGTGCTGGCTGTCTTTGCGTGCCCAAGCTTACTTCCCTTGGCACAGCGGGTCTTCACAGCACGTTTTTAGCCTTTCATTTGTTCCTGGGTGCTGGACTGCCTCTGTGTCTTGGCTATTGTGACTGCTGCTGCAATGAACACTTCGACTTTTCTGGATGTTTAACCAGAAGTGGGATGCTGGATCTCACGGTAATCCTATTTTTGATTTTTTGAGGAACCCCTGTTTTGTTTTCAAAAATGGCTACGCTAATTCCGGTTCCCACCAAGAGTGTCCTCCCACCTCCTCACCAAGGCTGCTCTTTCACTTCTCAGATCGCGGCCGCTGGAACAGGTGTGAGGCGGTGCACTGCGGCTTGCAGTCCCGTTTCTCTGACAGGTGATGCTGAGCCTGCTTCATGTGGCTGTGGCCTTTCTGTTCGGGTCCTTTGTCCACCTTCACAGTTGTTTGCTTGTTCTCTGGAGTTCCCTGTGTCCTCTGGAAGTCAGCCTTCAGTCTGATTATGCTTTGCCAGTATTTTCTCGCAGCTGGACGGTTTCCTCTTCACTCTGTTGTTCTCTGTCCTGTGCAGAGGCTTTTCAGTTGGCTGCCACCCCCGTTGTCAATTTCTGCACTTGCCGCTTGTGCTTTTAGGGTCACACATGAGAAACTATTGTCCAGACCAGTGGCCTGTGGCACTCCCATTACCTTTGCATGGTCTCCCCGTTAGGTCTTTGGTCCATCTGGATAAGGGGGACAACGGATCAGCGTAGGGGTCACCAGTTTTCCCATGTCTGTGAGGATTTTAGAGCCTTGGGGGCTTGGGGCAGGGCTGCACGGGGAAGTGCCAAGTCTCCCACTCCACGGGCGTGGACTGCTGTTCACCTGGTCATCTCTGATTTTTTCTAAAAATGTTCTGGAGTAGTTGTGGGTGTACAGTTCTTACACATCTTTTGTCAGATTTATTCCAAAGTCATATATTTTCATGCTATTACAAGTAACAGTGGCTCACTCTGAGTATATAAAAACACAACTTTAATAGCCCTACTGAGGTCTAAGTACCATAAAACTTACCCTTAGTAAAGGCTCAGCTCAGTTACGTCAGCAGGTTTATAAAGCTGTGTGAACCCCATCACAATCAACCCCAGGCCATTCCCATCAACCCAAAAGCTCCCTCCTGCCGAACGCTGATCTCTGTTCCTACCTCCAGGCCCAGGCAATATCTAATATTCCGTCTCAGTGGAGTTACCTGTCCTTTGCAGTTGGGACTGTGTTCTACTCATTTATGTTGTATATATATATTTTTGAAATATTTATTTATTTGAGAGGCAGAGGTAGACCTCAGTAGTGGCCATTTGGGGGGTGAACCAACCGGGACTAGAACCCGGCACCCATATGGGATGCTGGCGCTGCAGGTGGATTAAGCCAGTGAGCCATGGTGCTGGCCCCTAACGTGGCTCTTTGAAATCCCCTGCTGTGAGCTGGCCTCGTGCTAGAGAAGACTTGGGAACGCAGAGGGGGTGCCTCCCTCCAAAAGTGCATTTACCTTGCCGGTGTCCTGAACGCCAGCTGACTTACATCGAATTCCAATCTGAATGTTCCCTCATCACTCTGGATACCATTTCTCGTGACATTTGCTATAGCTCATGCTAACTCAGGGGCTCATCGTCTAAATCCAGGAGCCTGTAAGAGTCTGCTTCTTTGCAATGTCTACATCCGGGGCTGTTGGTGTCTCAGGTCCAGCGCTGGTCTCCGCATCATAAAGCTTTCTGCATTTTAAATTCGCCTTACGTTGTTTCTGATCGTGAATTTCTCGTATTTCTCACCTGCGTTTTCCAGCTCTACTTCAGATCCAGGTTCCAACCCATTTTTTCGCTGGTCTCTAATTGAAACTTTAATTATGGCCACTTTTTGAAGAAATGCTTAGATCATCTTCTCGATTATCTTTTCATGTTTATTTTTTCATCTACTCGGGAGGCAGAGGGAACTAGCGGAGAGAGAAACCTGCATTCCGTCTGCTGGTTCAGTCCCCACACGCACATGCAGGTGATGGCTGGGGCTGGGCCCGCGCACCTGAGTCACCGTCTGCTGCTGGCTCAGAGGCCGAGCGGCCGGCACTCGGACGCGGGACGCAGTGCCTTTCTCGAAGGCGTTAAGCAGTCCTCCAGATTACCGGACTATCCCTGCGTGCGGAGCCGCCCCTCCTTTGGCTTGTTTCGTAGCGTAGGATCAGCACCGCCTGTCTGCTCTGCCGGCAGCCCTAGGCGCTGAGCTCCCAGCTCTTCCCCCAGGACCCGCGTTTCTCGCATATTTTAAGCCTCAAAGATCTCAGGGCCTCTCCAGTGTCTCTTCCTGCTCTGCCGACTTCATGCTGGGTGCCTTCCTCTCTGCTGCTCTTCGCTCCTGGTTCCTCCTCCAGGAGGGCAACCAGGCCGCCCAGCAGGCCCTCTGTGGCCTCAGGAGTGGGACTCGGACACTAACTCAGGGCCTGTGGGACAAGCTGCTGATGGCTGTGTGCTTGTTTTTCAGACTTGTTTACGTGGCCGGCCGGGAAGGCCACATGCTCAAAGTGCTCTCTTACATCAGTGTCAGGCGCCTGACCCCAGCCCCTGCCATCATCTTTTACGTACGTATGGGACCTGCGCAACAGCGCCCACCTGGAGGGCAGAGGAGCCCCCAGTTTGCACGGTGACAGATGCGTACTGCTAAGCCCAGGTTCCCAAGATCCTTGCATTGAAACAACACCCAGGACAGTTCAAACAAGCAATACACCTAGCTGCGCCCCCGGAATTTATCCACGACAGCCACTGTGTGGATCTTCCACGTGTGTCCTTTGTTCCGGGTCCTTCTAACAAGCGACACTGGCCCACTGGCCCAGAGAAGACTGATGCATTGTACTAGTGGTGACTGACAGCAGCCACTCCCAACTCAGAGGTCAGGGCCTCTGTGGGGGATGGTCCTCGGTTGTGTGTCACCACTCTGGGGTCCCAGGACACCCACATTCCTAGCCTTCTGTCCAAGCTCCCCACCCCTCTGCTGTCCATCAACCTGCTCACCATGGAGACAGCGAGACCCACAGCAGGGGAAAGACCAGTCCAGGGCCATGCAACCAGCACAGGCCCAGACCAGACCTGAGCTTCATCGTCCGAGGTCCTGCCTGTGTGGAGAACTCTGGAAGGGAAAGTCACCGTTAGGCAGGGCTGGTCAGACCCGTCCACGCTCAGTCCTTGCGTTGAACCACATCCTTAAACGTTCGGCTTTCCCAAGCCGCTTCCCAGGCTTCAGAGAACAGACCCCACGGCCAAGTCCGGTTTAACTCCTGCCCGGGTGGGCTGCCCGGGGTCTCTGTCACGCTAGTGCTGTGCGCAGGGAAACCGCCGCTCTGGCCATCTGCGAAGCGGTGAGGACCGGGTTTCCATGCACCGATGACCTAAAATTTGCTCTTCTGTCCACCAGGGGATCGTTGCGACCATTTATATCATTCCTGGTGACATAAACTCCCTCGTCAATTACTTCAGTTTTGCTACATGGCTGTTTTATGGCCTGACGATTCTAGGACTCATCGTGATGAGGTTTACAAGGAAAGAACTGGAAAGGCCCATCAAGGTAAGCTGAGTGTCCCGCGGTCACGAGCGGCTTTGGTTTCTTACAGTGACGTAGACGGCTCTGCACTGAGCAAGAGCCCAGTGGGCAGCGTGTGGTCAGTGCAGGCCGCAGGCCAGGCCAGCCTGTGCACAGCCGTGGGGCGAGGACTCCTAGCCAGTTTCCTTACTGCTTCTTGTAGACCACACCTAAAGGGAGGGGCTAACGCTATTATGTGGGCATATATAGGAGATAATATAACCTATCATGTAAAATATCTAAGGGTCAGCACCTCCTGGCCACCACTGGTTCTGACAGCTGTGGTAGCTCTAACGGTTAGGGTGACTCTCAGAACAAAGGCACAGCCTTTACCAGCAGACACTTTATTTTCTTAAGATTTATTTATCTCAAAGTCCATTATGCAGACAGGAGAGAGAGAGAGAGGTCTTCCATCACTGGTCCACTCCCTAGATGGCCCCAACAGCCATGGCTGGGCCAATCTGAAGCCAGGAGCTTCTTCTGGGTCTCCTAAGTGCCTGGGCCATCCTCCACTGTTTTCCCAGGTGCATTAACAGGGAGCTAGATTGGAAGTAGAGCAGCCGGGACTGGAACCAGCATCCATATGGGATGCCAGCACTGCCCACAGAAGACACATTTCTCAAATAGGGGAGGAGGTGACAAAAGAAACGGAGCACATCATATAAGACCCTGGATAATGAGCTGTATGGGGGTGCCCACGAGAACATCTTCCTGGTTAATGTTTTCTTGGGAGAATATGTGTCAGGCTCCTTTGTTGTTTGAAAGGTAGAGAAGGGAAGCGACAGAGATCTTCCACCTGCCAGTTCACTCCCCAAATGGCCAGGGCTGGGCCAGGCACCAGGAGCTTCTTCCCACGTGGGTGCAGGGGCTCAAGCACTTGGGCCAACTTCCACTGCTTTCCCAGGTGCATCAGCAGGGAGCTGGATCGGGAAGTGGAGCAGCCAGGACTCGACCACAGTGCCGGTCCCAACATCTCTATATAATCTTGAATCTCCTAATCCTTCCACTTCCAGCTCATGTTTATATGAGAAAATGAGTAAATTGCCAAAGGCAGCAGGAAGTTTTCAACAAAACATGCACGTAAGGTTTGAAGTCACATTCCAAGGGCACCACACACGCCAGGGAAGCGAGAAGCACGTGTCAGGCTGGGCGGCCCTGCGTGAGCCACGTGACTCTGCTCAGCGCAGACACCTGTGAAGCACGCAGCGTGCTGGCTATGTGAGCTACTGTTGCTTTAGCTGTTTTTGAGCTGGGAATTTGAATTTTTTTTTTTTTTTTTTTTACAATGCAAGATAGTTTTCCGACTTGAAATAAGGAAAATACTCTCCTAGGGAGTGTTTTCCCACAGACTGGCTCTCTTCAAGGGCAGAAGACTGACAGAAGTACACGCTGAGTGTTGACAGAAATACAAGTGACGTGAGACGGGAGAACGAGCCTGTCAGCTGTGCACAGCTGGCTTATTGAGAGGTTTTTTATCAGGAAGGTTTATGAAGCTGTGGAAAATCAAACATAAGGGGCTGGCGCTATGACACAGTGGGCTAAGCATCTGCCTGCTGCATGGCATTCCATGTGGGCATCAGTTCGAGTCCCGGTGGCTCCTCTTCCAATCCAGCTCTCTGCTGTGGCCTGGGAAAGCAGCGGAGAATGGTCCAAGTGCTTGGGCCCTGCACCCACGTGGGAGACCCGAGAAGCTTCTGGCTCCGGCTTCAGATTGGCCCAGCTCCTGCCCTTGTGGCCATTTGGGGAGGAAACCAGTGAATGGAAGCCCTTTCTGTCACTCTGCTTCTCAAGTAAATGATCTGTAAAAATAAATTAATTAAAGAAAATCAAACATAAGAGGATAGGCAAAGCAGCAGCAGGCAAATTAAAACTCAGAAAACAAGGGCGAGACGTGTCAGACAAGCACTCAGGCCTACAGCGTTGCCCAGGACAAAGCCAGATCAATTGGCATGCAAATCTCCCGGTGAGGAGATGATGCTGAAAATCCATCCACGCAGCCATCCAGCTCCCACACCCTTGCGAAGTGCTTGTGAGCAGAGACCGCAGGACCGGCAGGGAGCAGCGAGCACACCTCCTCCAGCCAGCGTGGAGCCAGACACTCCACTAGGAAGAGGCCCGGGACTGGAAACATCACCAGCTACGGCTCCGAACTCTGGACCCCCCAACACGCGCCTCTCCAAGTGCATCCAAGACAGGACTGGCACGTGACCTCCTCTGCCACCACAAAGGAAAATTTAATATTTCAAAAAATAATACAAGTCTCGTTCTCTGTGAGGCAACAAAACAGGAACTCAAGAAGACAAACCTGTGGGGCCAAGAGGACACGGGCACTGCGCGTGCGCACACAGCTGGAGCAACAGTGGGAGGAGACGGAGGCCCGGGCACCGTCTACACAGCACGTGAAGAACTTCCTCACATTCGATACTTGGATGAATAAACAGGAAAACAGGCAACTCAGAAAGCACAATAACGAATGCAGAAAACCAAGAGCAGAAAAACCTAATAACATCGAGAAGCCGAGATGTCAGGGAGGAGAGAGCAGTCACTCTGTAAGGAATACGCAATCACTCTGGCTTCTTTCAGAGTTCTCCTTTTTCAGTGATCTGGAACAAATGAATACCAGGAAAATCTGATTTTAAGAATTTCCCAGCCGGCGCCGTGGCTCACTAGGCTAATCCTCCGCCTGCGGCGCCGGCACCCCGGGTTCTAGTCCCGGTGGGGGCGCCGGATTCTGTCCCAGTCGCTCCTCTTCCAGTCCAGCTCTCTGCTCTGTGGTCCGGGAGTGCAGTGGAGGATGGCCCAAGTGCTTGGGTCCTGCACCCGCATGGGAGACCAGGAGAAGCACCTGGCTCCTGGCTTTGGATCAGTACGGTGCGCCGACTGCAGCAGCCATTTAGGGGGTGAACCAATGGAAGGAAGACCTTTCTCTCTGTCTCTTTCTCTCACTGTCTAACTCTGCCTGTCAAAAAAAAAAAAAAAAAAAAAAGAATTTCCCAGTACATTACATGAAGATACTTAAAGGCAAGTTTATTTTGGTGCAACATTTTTTTTTAAATCCTTGCCAATGAGGGGGTCTTTAAAAAGTTCATGGAAAATGAATATTATGGGAACATTAATTTCACCCAGGTCTCCCACAGGGGTGCAGGGATCCAAGCACTTGGGCCATCTTCCACTGCTTTCCCAGGTGCATTAGCAGGGAGCTAGATCAGAAGTGGAGCAGCCAGGACTCGAACCAGCTTTACCCACCACACCACAATGCTGGTCTCCATTTAGCATTGTTTTGAATATACTAGCAAGGGATATAGAAAGAAGAAAGCAATTTGGGGTGTGAGAGGCAGAAAATAATTTTTAAAGTCTTTAAAACCTTTTGAAGATTGTATAATTATGTATCTGGAAGATGCAAAGGAATCAGAGAACAAACTATTAATAAAGTGGTAAGATATACCATCCACACACTGAAATCAACAGCCTTTATGCAAATGATTCCAATGAAAAGATAATGGAAAAGAATACCTCGGGTCCCCAAATTAAACACACACACACAAAAAACCTAAAAATAATCCCCTGCTGTGGGCATTAGGATGCCCACTTCCCATCCCTTTCCGTGGGGCCTGCGTTTCAGTCCCGGCCCTTCCTGCCAGTGCAGAGCCTGAGAGGCAGTGGTGACGGCCCCCCAGCTGGGTGCCTGCCGCCCACGTGGGAGACCTGGATTGAGTTTTTGGCCCTTGACTATGCCCAGCAGGAATCTGGAGAGTTCGTCCCCTCTGTCTCTTTAAAATTTAAATTATGTATCAATATAAGGAGGTTAGACCTCTAGGTGGGAAACTATAAACTACACCTGAAAGACCACAGACTCTAGACTTAGGGTGCTGATGCGCGAATGAAGTGTAAACTGCTCTGTAAGCCATGAATGCAGACAGCTTGCCCAGGACTCAAATTCCAGAAGTAATAAAGAGAAAAAAATCAGTCTTTTTAGAAAGCAAGTGAAACACACACACAGCAGAATGGGGCGGGCAGTCTTTGCAGGTGATATCCTCCCCCTGCCCCCCACAAAAGAAAGAGTTCCCAACAATTGAGATGGGAAACACCAGTCCTTGAAGAAAAAAATTTTTTTAAAAGTTCAAACAAAAATGCAAAGGCGCTTACACATGAAAACAAAGAAGCTCGGAATCCCAGCAAGCTCATCAAGCAAGCAGGCCAGAACGAGGAGAAGTAGCACTTGCGGCCCATCAGGTGGGCAGCAAAGACGAGCTCACTCCCTTGCCCGTTGTTGGCACTGGGTGTGGAGCCCTGCCCCTCGGGGCGGTACCTGGCAAAACTATCCAATCATTTTCTCTTTGGCCCTTTATCCCAATCCCAAAGAGAAACTGCAGACATGTGAAATATACACAAGGTTCTTTCTTGAGGCACCAATTCTATCAGCAAAAGATTCAACACGACCCCAAAGCCAACAGGCAACACTCAAATGGTGTTTCAGCCACAGATACTATGGTTAGCAGCAACAGGAAACGGATGATCACTCACTTCACATTTGACTATGTCAGCATCTCTGGATGTGCTGCAGGAGCAAGGCCAGGGGCAAAGCTATGATTGTGTCATTTGCTACTTCCTAAACAGCAGTGGAAGGTGAACATATAAGTTTATGTATATGTGTTTATTCTCATGGAAGAAATATGAAAAGGGAAAAAATGAAACCCCCAAATTAACAAAGGAGCAAGAGAAGCCTTGCTTGTGTGACAAGCAGGTGACAGCCACGGAGAAGGGGATTACCAGGACTGTTCATCCCCTTCGTGGGTTAACCAACCACACAGCGCCTTAAAGGTCCAGTGACTTACGTTCCTACTCGTGTAGTTCCTGGGGAATTTCTTATAGGTGCATTACAGAACACAGCAAATAAGGAATTATGTTCACATGATTAAGAAACAGATTTTCAGGGAAAAAAGGCATAAAAATACATATAATCTTACATTGGAATTGGAAATGTCAGTATGGATATATGAATTTTTTTCCCTTCTTGAAAAAAGTTTTTTCTGTCCTTGCAAAAGAACAGAGCATACTCCAGACCCTGCACGAGGGTCTTTGAATGCCACTTCCTAACCGGACGGCAGGTGAAGGGCTTCACTCCACAGTTCCACAGCATTAGGTGACTCCTTTGTACCCTCGGTGAAGCAATGAATCAAGGCAATGTTAGCAGGAGAGGCTAAACCACTCAAGCTTCACCTCTAGTTCAAAACCAGGAGGTTAACAGGGACATTTCTCATGGTGGGACTGGACCGCTCTCCCTCTCCTAAGCCCACTGACAGACCTTAGGAATTCAAGTGGACAGACATGTGCCTGATGGAAGTGCACTGCTCCACCAGGAAGTATTCGTGCCTCTAAACCTAGCTACCAGTGTGCAGGGAATACGGGGGACAGAGGCCAAGGCCAAGGCCAAGGCCAAGGCAGCAGCAGGATGCCGTCACACGAAGCTCTATGTAGAGCGTAGAGGGTCCATCTTCCAGTTTGTTTACCACAAAAGGGAGGGAGAAGAATGGCACTGAACTCATCAGAGACACACTGAGATGTGTCACAGTGACACGGTGTCCAGTGGGTTCTTCGTATTCTAGGGAAAAGAAAAGGTGGAGTAGATGAGGTAAGACTGACAAGCTGACAGAAGTTCCTAAAACTGGAGGGGTCACGTAGAGGTCACCATACTCCATCAGCCTTGCTGCCTCTTCAGTGAAAAACATCGACAGCAAGACAGACGGACCCACGCAGCCGCACAGCCAGCCCTGACCCCTCGCTGCTCTGCTTGCAGGTGCCCATCTTCATCCCCATCCTGGTGACCTTCATAGCTGCGTTTTTGGTCCTGGCCCCAGTCATCACTAACCCAGCGTGGGAGTATCTCTACTGTGTGTTATTTATCCTGAGCGGCCTTGTATTTTACTTCCTTTTCGTCTACTACAAGTTTGAATGGGCTCAGAAAATCTCAAAGTATCACATCAGGTGGTTCCGCTATGAAAGCACAGAGCTGCAGCGCCCCACAGTGCACCACCGCCCCCGGCTGAACACCTCCGGGCCCGTCCTGGGCCGCCTGTTTCCATCACTTCGCCTGCCAGGCAGGAAGGGAAAGCAAAGCATTTTAAACAGAATCTTAGGGAGGGGGGCAGGGGCGGGGGCATGGGGAGGGGGGAGAGGGAGCAGGGAAAGGGAGGAGAGGGGAGAGGGAGGAGAGGGGAGAGAGGGGAGAGGGAGAGAGAGGGGAGGGGAGACAGGGAGACAGCTCCCATCTGCTGCCTCACTGTCCAGGCCTCCCTTGTTGACACGGTCGCGTCTGCCTCCCACGGTCTGTGTGAGCAGGAAACTGGCCTCAGAAGCCAGAGCCTGAACCCAGCCACTCCCGTGTGGGACACGGGGTCCTGACTGCTAGGCTAAACACCTGTCCCTCATTTCCTTTTTAACTTAAAATACCTGTAAGCTTAGATGGCCACCGTGACCTCTGATGAGTGCGGTTCACTAGTGTTAAGTATGTTTATCTTCAGCGCACCACGTTCCTCTGCCTGACACACACTGCGTACCAGCTAAGAGCTCACTGGCACGCCAGTCGCTCAGTGACAGAGCCAGGGCTGGGAGAGTGACAAGGCCTGTGCTGCCAGCAGGTCTCTCCTCCATCCGGCAGTCATTTGCATCTGTTTTTAAAAAAGACAACTATTTATTTTTATTAAATGTATTCTACCTTTCACTTATTTGAAAGGCAGAAAGAGATCTTCCTTCTTCTGGTTTGCTCTCCAAATGCCCACAACTGGGGCTGGGCCAGGCCAAAGCCAGGAGCCGGGAACTCCGTGTGGCTCTCCCACACGGGGTGGCAGGGACTCAGGTTCTTGAGCCACCATTTGCTCCCGCCCAGCATGTGCGTTGTTAGCTGGGAGCTGGATGGGAAGTGGAGCAAGGACGCAGGCCCAGGCACTCCAGTATGGGATGCAGGTCTCTTCAGTGGCATCTTAATCATGGTACCAAGTGCCTGCCCTCAACTGTTGTCTAAAAGTTTAGCTGCATAAGCCACTTTCACACCTAAAGTCCACTTGTGCCAAAGACGCCTCTGAGACTCAATTACACTTCTTTTCTTTACTTCAGTGCTATATTCATAAGTTGTAAACTGCACAACAAATTGAAGTGCACCAACCCTCCTCATCAAAGCCTTCCCAGGCTCCCGAGCACCCCCAGCAGGGCCTGCCTCCTGCTCTGTAAGCTCCCTGAAGACAGGAAGTGGGCTGTGTACGATGTAATCCCAGCAGTGTCTGGCCTGTCACAGCCCCGTGGTGTTACTGAGTCCTGTGGCCGAAAACCTGCCCGCTGCTCAGTTTCTCACCAGCAAGGCGCAGCCTCCCCTGCAGGCACTCCTGTGCGTGCCATTTATAGACCACACACACAGGGGGGACAGCCAGGGGATGACCAGTAGAACCCGACCAGAGGGCCAGCAGAGACCTGGGCTTCAGACCCTGCCAGCCAGGACTGAGAATGCCTGAGGGTGCTGGGTCCTCTCCACCTCCACTTCCTGGGCCATGAGATCGGTGCCGTTACTGACCTGACAGTGGCGAGAGAATTTAGTTCATGTTGATTAAGAGTGAAACAGCAGCAACATATTGTTATTTCCACCAGGCACTTGTCTCTTTCCTGAAACAGCCCCTCCCCCGTCTCTTTACTCTGACCTCAACCCTGCGCTGGGAAGGAGTGAGGTTGTGGGCACTCCGACAGAAGGGAAAGGAAATGTATTCGTGTGAGAGGAAACAGCCTTCTGGGCCTGTTGTGGGTAAGCGGGAAAAGCTGCCACCTTTGATGGCAGCATCCCGTGTGGGCACTGGCTCCTGGCCTGGCTGCTCCACTTCTGATCCAGCTCCCTGCCAGTGGCCTGGGAAAAGCAGAAGATGCCACCCATGTGGGGACTTGACCCAATCCTGGCCGTTGTGGTCATATGGGCAGTGAACCAGCAGATAGCTCTAATTCTAACTTTCAAATAAATAAGGCAATCTTAAAAAAAAAAAAAAAAAAACCTTGGATTTGATCATGGCAACAGATAATCTGGCTAGGATGACGGAAGCAGGCTTTGGAAGCCCACGACACAAAATAGATCTTGTTTCTCAGCTCTAGAAGATTCAGCAAGCTGCTGCCTACAGAAGTTGGTAGAAGTTGGGTTAAGGTGGTGAAAACCAATGAGTGATCTTACACTTTAAATAAACAGAAGTCCTAGTGACTTAGACACTGGTAGTAAGTATATGTGTAACTTAGTTTTCCTAGAGTGTGCACTGGTTAGTGGCAGTTAAATACTTGGCAGCTTCCTAATTCCTTAATGGAAACAGCTCGCTCCAAAGCCCAGCGCGGCTCCTGGACAGCCGTCCGTGGGCACGCACGCTCCGCTAACCAACCACCCGCCCGCTGCTTGTGTTCCAGAGCCCATCACCATGCACCTCCAGATGCTCATGGAAGTTGTGCCGCCGGAGCCAGACCCCAAGTGACAAGTTTGTGTCTTGTAACCAACTCAACGCTGTGAGGAGTTTATTTTTGTAAGCAGTATTTGTGGTATTTCTTCCTGATTTTTTTCTTAAGAAGAATTGTATCAGATGCTTATGTAACATTATTTTTGGTATCCTTAATTGTCTGGGTGGGTTCCAGGCGTGTACGGTGACCCCGGCAGGTGCAGCCACGGCCCAGCGGCTGCTGTGTGCCTGCCCGAGGGACACAACACGCTCCCGCGAATAAAGCGCATCCTGCATCGCCGCCAGCGATGTGTGTGCCTCTGCAGGCCTCGGGGCTTCCGCTTCCGCTGACGGGGCGTTGCAGGCAGGCAGGCAGGCAGGCGGGCAGGCAGGCGGGCAGGCAGGCCCGTGCTTTACCACCTGCGCTCCTCGCTGCTCAGACGCCGCCGCCTCTGTCTTGAGCCAGCAAAGGGCCCGGCCGGGCCACGTCAGGCTGCAGGAGGCAGCCCCGGCGCAGAGCCGCCCTTGCGCTCGCAGGTCCATGCCCCCGAACCCCCAGCAGCCCTCTCTGGCCTCCTGGGCCAGGCAGAAGGGGCCGCGAGTGGGATCTGATGTTGCAGGGGCACGCGGGAGGAAACACGTGGGACACGTTTCTGTCAGAACACGGAAGCTTTATTGCTAACACAACAGACGCCCCCAACCCATGACTGCGCACAACCTCAGAAGCCACGACAAAGGTGCTTTCCCCTTGCGCCTGAGAAATCACTCAACGCATGAAATCAGTACAGACGCTACAGCAGTACAGGAAGGCGGTGACCACGTGCTCACAGACATCAGGAAAAGCTGAACGTCTGAACAAAGAAACAGGTTTAAACCCAGCCGCTGCCTGCCCAGGGCTTTCACGCTGAGCCGCACGGGGGAGCTGGCCTGCAGTCTCTTCTCGGACGGCAGGGCCCCCACCGCTTGGCTGGGACACAGACAACAAAAAAAACCCCTTGCCGACCCAACCCAAGCCTGTGCCATGGTGAGCACAGGACACGGCGCGGGGCCTCTGTCCACCACGACCCCGCCTGCAGCAGCTGACACAGGAGGCACCCCGCGGAGTCAACAGCTTCACCAGCCAAGACACCGCAGCCTCTGCGTCCTCAGAGCCTGTCCAACCGGCTGAGAACAAGGAAACCACCCCTCCCTTCCTGACCGATCTGCCTCCTGCCACCTGCAGTCCCCGTGAGAGGCGCAGCAGCAAGGCACTGCCCCCAGAGCCCCCACGCAGAGCACGCGCCAGCTCTGGCTCTGCACAGGCTCCCCGAGGTGGGCAGGGCCTCGCTTTACAGATAAGGAAACTGAGGGCCAGAGTATGACCCAAGGCCGCTCACCGGACCACGTGCGCTCAGGCGTCTGCGCTCCGGGACGTAAAGAACCAAGATCTCCGTGCAGCTGCGATGGGCCAACGCGTTTCCCACTCAGCTGCTGCCGAGGAAGTCCAGGGGGCCTCACGGTTCCCAACAGCTCACCTTAAACCTTCCCCACGAGCAGAGAAGCCCGCAGCAGAGGGGCGGCCCACGCTTCTTCCCAGACCTCGGTGTGCTGCAGCCTTCCCCCAGGACGAGGTCGTCATCACGGCAGGTGTTCTGAGTCCCCTCTGGGCACCACGCAGGTCCTTGAAAGTTTCTGCCACAAAAGAACCTGGGAGCGCAGGTCACTCGGAAGCAGCAGCCGCCTCTCCAGAGGGCGCTGGGCCTGCCAGCAGGCACTGTGTGGCCCCCGCACTCACCCCGGCTCCGAGGCAACCCACTCGGAGGAGCCGGGTGGGTATCGGTAGTGCTCGGAGGCAGCTATGGCGACCCCCGCGAGGCCGCTGCTGAGGGCGACGGGCAGGTCCGAGGCTGTTCAGCACAGCAGGGGAGAGCAGCGAGTGCCGACTCGGGCCTGCACGTTCCTCACCGAGTGGCAGGGTTCTGCGCTGCCACTCAGAGCTGAGTGCGTCAGGACGAGCTGAGGCTACGGCTGTGCCAGGCAGCACAGCCAGGCCAGGAGGGCCAGCTGCGCTGCTCCTCTGCTCCCACCCTCCTGACAACCGTCTCATAGCAACCACGGTTTAAAATTTATTTGAAAGGCAGAGTGACAGCCCTGGGGCAGAAAGAGAGGGAAAGAGAGAGAGAAAGAGAGAGGAGAGAGTATCTTCCATCTGCTGGTTCATTCCACAAATGGCCACAACAGCCAGGGATGGGCCAGATGGAAACCAAGAGCCCAGGACTCCATCCCACGTGGGTGGCAGGGGCCCAAGTACCCACGGTACTTTGCTGCCTTCCAGGAGCATTAGCAGGGAGCTGGATTAGAAGTAGAACAGCCAGGATTGGAACCAGCATTCATATGGGACGTCAGTGTCGCAGGCGGAGGCCCAACCTGCTGCGCCACAATGCTGGTCTTATCAGCCTGTTTTTAATTGACCAGGAAATCTGTCACCATTACCAATCCTGAAGCATAAGATGACCCTTGGCAATAATTCCTCCTTGAGGTGAAAGACGGTTTGGGTAGCATCACTTGTTTTCTTAACTTCCAACACACGGCCACAGCCATGGTTGTTCCAAGTCTCGGGCTGCCGGCGGGACTTCAGTCTCACTCACTCTCACTCCCGTCAGCCTCCGAAGCGCTGCTGCTGGGTCCGACCACCTCTGCCACTTTGCAGGGCAGCCTCTTAGAAGTCACAGCTGCAAGAGTGAGGCATCATCAGAAACATGCTGAAGTGCGTGGTAAGGAGCGAATCTGTCCCCCACCCAAAGATGTGCCTTTGCCTCTAGCTCCACCTTGCGGCTAATTTTATATTTTCATTATTTTAGGCAAGAAACGAGGAGGTCTGCTTGTAAGTAAGTTATTCTAGGGAAGAGAATCTGTAAAAGTGTTGTAAGAAGGTTATGTTTTAACCAAAGGTCAGCAAGGTCCCCAGACTGGAACACTCAGCACCAGGACACCATAAAGAGAACACTGACCTCTGAAGGCTGGCTTTATTAACGGCCCATTTCCATAAAGGTGGGATCCCTAAAGTCAGCTGAGGGATATGTCCACGCCGGCACACAGGGCCCCAGCCCCTCCAGGAGTGGGTGCCCAGGTCCTACCCTTGGAGAAGTGGCTGTCCTCTTCACACTCTTCCCAGTGGTCAAAATCAAAAGCCACATTCGGATTCTGTCCAACAGAACAGCTGCCGTAAGTGAACACAGAGTCACCCTCGGAGCCACGGCCGCCAGCCTCCGTCACCGCACTCACCCTGTGTCTGAGCAGGCCGCGCCACGGCTCCCTTCTCTCTTCGCCAGAGTTAATCACGGGCTCGTCGTTTCTGATGACGCACCTGCAGCTGTCTTTTCTGATGCTGCCCTGCAGCTCCAAATCAGCTCTGTAGAACTTGTCTCTCACCCAGGCGCTAGGAGAGAGAACCCAGTCAGCCTTTCCGGTGCCACGGCCAGTCCTGTGGCCCAGCACACGGCGCATATCAACCTACCTGAAAACGACCCTGTCTCGGAAGTATTTACATCTATATCCTTGACATTCCTTACTTGTATCTTCAAGATGACAACATCGTCTTCTGGAACCATTTTATTTGTGATGGAAGCTAGGAGGAAAGAGGAGGCCTTTAGCGCGCATTGTTTATCCAGTGTTAGGAGAGGCGGGCCTCCGAGCGCTGACCACTGTACCTTTTCACGTGTGGCTGTGGGGGCTTGCTGATGGGGGCGTCTCCAGTGTTTGCAGACAACGTTTCTGTGGGAAATCAAAGTCAGATTTTTACAGGTTGTTTATATGCACCTCTGTAACGAACATATGCATTTGCACCGATACAACCTTTAGATGAGGAATTAGTCACTAAAGAGTGTGACTGCGACAGTGACCCGAGCATCCAGCTGAAAACAGAGTTGGTGCTCTGTATTTGTGGGCTGTACGTCTGCAGATTAAACCAACCACAGATTGAAATATTCTTTCTTTTGATAGGCAGAGCGGACAGTGAGAGAGAGAGACAGAGAGAAAGGTCATCCTTTTGCCGTTGGTTCACCTCCAATGGCCGCCACGGCTGGCACACTGTGCTGATCTGATGGCAGGAGCCAGGTGCTTCTCCTGGTCTCCCATGGGGTGCAGGGCCCAAGCACTTGGGCCATCCTCCACTGCACTCCCTGGCCACAGCAGAGAGCTGGCCTGGAAGAGGGCAACCGGGACAGAATCCGGCGCCACGACTGGGACTAGAACTTGGTGTGCTGGCGCCGCTAGGTGGAGGATTAGCCTAGTGAGCCGCGGTGCTGGCCAGATTGAAATATTTTTAAAAAATCAACTGAGTCTATAAGCATGTATAGGTTTGTTTCCCTGTCATTATCCCCTAAACAACACAGTAGGGCTATTTACATGGCATTTACACTGTATCAGTACTTAAATTGCCCAGGAAGGCGTGGGCGCTTGGCCTACTGCTCAGGATACTGGAGTGCGTGGGTTCAGTGTCTGGCTCCCTGCTGTTGCAGGCCCTGGAAGGCAGCAGTGACAGTTCAAGTAACTGGGTTCCTGCTGCCCACGTGGCTGATACGCACTGTTTCTCAGCTCCAGGCCTGGGCCCTGGCAACTATGGGCATCTGAGGAGCGAACCAGTATACGGGAACTCTCTCAAGTAAATAAACCAATAAAATAATAAAATAGAGTACTTGGAAGTGTGTAGGCTCTATGCAAACAGGATACCATTTTCTACAGGGGACTTGAATATCTGGTTCTGGCATCCACGTGGAGGCCTAGAACCAGTCCCCTACAGATACTGAGGGACGGTGATAATCCTGAAAAATTAAAATATACATCATTTCATAAGATTAACATGTTGTCAAAATAACAGGCTCTGACAATACTAAAACTAAACCACCAGGAACTTCACGTTCCTCTTTTGATGAGAACCTGCACTACAACTGCCGGCCACAGGACACACTAAGTGTCTAAGTTCCTTCAGTGCTGTCCTAACCCAGCAGGACCCCACGGGAGGTGACTTCCACGCAGTCAGCGCACAGGAGCAGGTGCCGAACACCGTATTTCCTGAGTCTCCATCGACGAGGTGCGGGGCTGCTGTCCCAACTGGAACAACGATGGGCCCATCAGCCCTCATCACAGCAGCCCCGTGGAGAAGCGCGAAGCCGGGGTGCAGGTGACTGCAGAACACAGCTGAGTTTAAAACAGACCTCCCACCATGCGCCGTGCTGTGCCAGACACCAACTTCAGAGTCACGCTGTCCCGAACGGAGCCACAGTGCACA